ATTCCGTCTTTGCGTATTGCAGAGTTATCTTCTCTTGGGAGCAGGTATTGATTGTTACGTCATTGATTTGTGTGAGAAAATTACGTCGTTTTCTCAAAAATTGATGACGTTACTCTCACAAACAAGTGACGTAACAATCAATACCTGCTCCCAAGAGAAGATAACTCTGCAATACGCAAAGACGGAATATTCACTATATCAACCGCTTAAGTGATTTGTTGTTGAACTAGCGTGCTTTAAACAGACAGTGTCCGATAGGGACTTGCCTCCATGTGTGTAATATATGCATGTACATATTTGATGCCGACTTCATAGTGCTACCTCGCCGAAATAATATACCAAAAGGCACCCAGCAAAGTACTCCACCCGGACACATTATACCGACAACGGGTGAACCAGTTGTTGCTTTTACCCTGAATGCTGAACTTTAAGCAGAGAATAACAACTACCATTTTTAAGGATTGCTATGTCCCGGCCTGATGACAAAAACTGTTACCTTACTCATATTGGGCTAACGTTCAACACCAAGGCCAACAGTGAGGTATTGCCAAGAAAGGTTGTCGGGAACTGGAGAGAAAGTAGTGATTACAATGGGTACAGCAGGTTATTTTTGGTCGCATTTGTGTCAGCAAGTTTTCTGCAAGGGGTTTCCACATTAGTTGCCTTTTTCAACATGAAGTGGGTAACAGCAGGTATAGTCTTTTCTCAGTCAACAACCTGCAGGGGTGTTGTTTAAAAAATATACAACACTCAAATGATCATAAGCACATTAATATTAGTTAAACCTCTGATATTTGAATGAAATTAACAGTCTGTTAAGAAATGTTCATTTATATGTATTATCTTCAAAAACATTTTATTTACAATAGTTATTCTTTTGTCTATTGCCTTCTGAAACATTTGCTTAAAATATTTACTTGGTCGTTGGTTCACTGCACCATTTACAGTCAACCACCTTATGATTGAATGCGCTGATTTCAAACAAAATACGTGACAGATTTTTTGATGTACTGTCGTCTATGAAAAGTTTATTTTATACAGTTTCAGTGCAATTAATATATGACTATTTACACTCAATTGATCTTTACAATAAGATATGGTATATTTTGCAGCCAATTCCTTTTCTGTTAATGTATTTCTAAATCCTTAACATATTTTAATCTATTTAGATTCACTATGATGTGTTTATTTGTTTTGTGAATGTCTCTTTTTACAGTGTTGTTTAGCCCTAAATGACTCGCACTATCGATGGGCCGTCCACCAATACAAAACAAACAAACAAACAAACAAACGTCACCGCCAGTAACAAGTTACCACATGTGAATGAACTAAAGACTGATGATTGCTATGAATGAATATATTTGAAACATAATTTTCTGTAAACAGCTCTGAATTGTATAATTCACATATTCGTAAATTATTTCTATTTCATTTCTTCTTTTACTCCCTAAGGTTCTACAACACCGTAATGCGTTATGGCCGATTTACAATATGTTAACTGACGTTAGCGTTCTCTGTTTTCAGCATATCTGTACAGGTTATCATCCAGATGACGATGACCGGGACCTACGTTCTATGTCTCGTAGTCTTACGGCCGTACAGGTAAGGTGATTAACGATAATAGTATCGGTCTCAGCTCCAGGTAAACAAAATATGTTCTAAATGAAGTTTGGTGAGAGATCTAAATGATTATGGAGTTAAGAGGAAATGAGTTTTTAAGAGTTATGTGTATTCGAGTTTTAGTTCAAATCACATTTTATTCGTGTCAATTAACATGTACAATTACAAAAGACATTTGTTTGTAATAATTGGGATACAAGTACTAACGTACAAATGTACGTATACATAGTCCTTCTCATACATTGTTGAGATTGAATTGGAGGTACATTGTATAAATCAAGTTTTAGGGTTAGGTGTCGTTGAGATTGAGTTGGAGGTATACATGAAGTTTTAGGGTTATGTGCTATTGAGATTGTGTTGGAGGTATACATGAAGTTTAAGAGTTAGGTGTCGTTGAGATTGAGTTGGAGGTATACATGAAGTTTTAGGGATATGTGCTATTGAGATTGTGTTGGAGGGATAAATGAAGTTTTAGACTTATGTGCTGTTGAGATTGGGTTGGAGGTATAAATGAGTTTTAGAGTTATGTGCTCTTGAGATTGAGTTGGAGCTCTAAATGAAGTTTTAGGGGTACGTGTGGTTGAGATTGAGTTGGGGAGTTACGTGCTGTTGAGATTGAGATGGAGGTATAAATGAAGTTTAAGAGTTAGGTGTCGTTTAGATTGAGTTGGAGGTACAAATGAAGTTTTAGAGTTATGTGCTGTTGAGATTGAGTTGGAGGTATAAATGAAGTTTTAGGGTTACGTGTGGTTGAGATTGAGTTGGTGAGTTACGTGCTGTTGAGATTGAGTTGGAGGTATACATGAAGTTTTAGTGTTATGTGCTGTTGAGATTGAGTTGGAGGTCTTAATGAAGTTTTAGAGTTATGTGCTGTTGAGATTGAGTTGGAGGTATAAGTATGATGAGGTTTTAGAGTTCAGATTTGGTGAGAGGCATACAAGAGGTATGCTGTTAGGTATAAAGAAAGTTTGGCGATAGGTCTGAAGATATTGCGCATCATACAGCAAGTTCTACGGGCATGGCACAGGGAAAGTATATGGTGGTTGCAGAGGTGCATTCAAGGTTTGATTATAGAAGCGAGGAAATTGCTAAGACTGCAGGTCTTGTACAGGAAATTAATGCTGAACTTTAATACAGAAAGTTCAACTTTAAAATTGTATATGGAAATGAATTGAAACGAGATGTAAAATATCTTTAAAAGTAAATATCCATGTGCTAGATTTGAACTGTTGTGTTACATAGTACCTATTATGTTACTCGTTATTTACCGAGGCTTTCACTGACAGACCGTTTTCGGTGCAATTAAACCTTTTAATACAACCTGGTGTCGCTCGATTTTAACTATGAAACCTCAATTTTACAGCGTCATGTTATGATTCTCAGCCCTGTACTTATTTGTCATGTTCTATCATTTCACCAACAGCCAGTGCCAATGGGAGAGAGACGGCATGAACATCAACCTCGCTCTCGACGTAAGTTGTGTAATAGCTTACATCAAATCGAGCTTCTACTTCAATCTGTCAGATATAAGACAGCCATTTAGATTTTCGAGTAGCAGACCTTTATTTATTTCTAATGCCCCCTCGTCTGAGATTTTAAACGAAATACTGAATGAAGCCTATGAAATGTTTTTTGACAAATGAAAAAATAAGTCCCTTGTTTGTGTGATCTTGTTGACCGTCTGCTTCTATCCTAGGTGACGGCCAATCTCGTGGTGGGGATTCTTCAGGCTGTTGCCTTTCTGACAGTCAGAGACATGTACGTAACGGAAATGACGTATGTATTCTTCGTAAGTCTGGCGATAGTCCTCGTCCTGGCCCTGGGATTGCTCCTGTTTATACCCAAGGAATTGGAAGTCCCTGAGGTAAATTATACTTTATACTTTAGTATAAAAGAAAAAGAGAAAAATGAAACCATCCGATTTTATTTCCAATCAATCCAAGTCAACATCATGTACAAAATGTACATTAAAAAAATAATTAAACGGATGATAAGTTGTGTTTTGCTTTGTTTGTTTGTTGTTGTTGTTGGTGGTGGTGGTGGTAGTGGTGGTGGTGGTGGTGGGATTATAAAAAAATGTATAATAGTTGATCGTTAATAATGACGTTCAAGTGTTTAGGCTTTCTTTCCGAAAAGCAAGCAAACATACGTTTTACTAGGCATGGTTAAGAAGAGCGAATGGCAACATTTGAAGAAAATAAAAACTCAAGCCAATATTGATGAGTCGGGGGTTCCGATTTCTGCTTTGCAAGGCTGTATTTTAATCGCGTTGAAGTGTTTGCATTATTAAATGTCAGATCGGGTAAAATAGTGGTGTTCTGTTTTTTAGCCTGTGATTAGTTAGGTGTCGGTACAGCTTCCCTTGTGAATATAACAAATATATGTCGTGATAAATATTGCATATTTTTACCTTCAATTCGACTACTCCGTATCAAATTTCAGTCTGACATTTAAGTCCGTCACCTAAGAGTGCAGACTAGGCCTATTTCTGTCGTAACCGGCCTGCTGTGGACAATCCGTCATTGTCAAGACCGCCACGGCTACCAGACTGCTTCTCTGTCTCAACGGTTTTTCTTTTCCAATTTTATTCATTTATTTATTTTATTTTATAAATAAAAAGCAGCATAGCCAAACAGAAAAGACTCGTATATATCAAGATCAATTTTAAGTAGTTACTTGGTATTACGACGGAGAATACGTACTGTACATCACTACGCTTAATCATTTCGTTATCGTCTGTTCCCGAAATTGCTTCTGTATCTTTCTGTACGGCGTTTCAGTAAAAGGGACGAAACACTGGCCACTTGACGATATGATGCGTGTCGAATTACGTCAACCCAGAAATATCTTATTTATGGGATACCGAGGCCTAGGTTATTCAGTGAAGATGCAAGACAACCCGGGGCGTAGCTAGTCCTTGTTCGGAGAGGATTCATTTTGGAATGGGTCCAGACCAGGGCCATAAAATGAGTAGGGGGGCATTGGGTGCAACAATCACTGTTAATACACGTCCGACAACTATAACTACACGGTATATAAATTATAGTAGCACAGTATCATGAACTGCAGATTTCAGTGGGGGGGTTTTCAGGTGATGTCCATCCAGGCGGACGTTGAAGAGGAGGAAGCGGGTCAGTCTGAAGGACATCACAGGTTCAAAAACAAAGTGGGACCAGCACCGTCCACAGAACAGGCTAAACAAAATCTGCAGTTTTAGTCGCAGACATAATAGTGTTAACTGATCGGATGGAGGCCATTCCAAGGTGCTCATTTTTAAGTATGTTGTTTTTACTGAAACTTCTTGTTGAGTTAAATAAATTAATGAAAACTAGATGATTATTTCGTTGACTTTTTTTAGGAGGGAAGACCCAGAAATCGAATCGAAACATGAAGCGGTTCGCTCTTCACGAAAGTTTTTTTTAGTATTGAAACATCAACACGTCATGTTTAACAGTGACGCAGACTTAAGAATGCATAGCCATGCAACTTTTTTTTTGTCTACAGATGAATAACTTTATGAGAATTTTTAAATAAATAAACCAAATGAGGGTTCGATCAACCATTTTGGGTACTTCCACCTTTAAGTCATTTTTCGACATATAGGCCTAAGCTACAGTAGTATTGGATGCACTTTGTATGGGCGGATTGGGCGAGTGGTTAACATTCCGCCCTTCCACGCAAACAGCCGGGGTTGGATCCCTGAAGAAGTCGTATATTCAGAGAAAGTGTTCATGTCCTGCCCACACAAATCCAACAACCCAGGTGGGATATAAATTGGTCTGGGGTGGATGTTGCAGTATCTGTGCTGTAGCATTCAAGTGAGGTGGCACTATAAATGATACTGTTGGAAGCAGGTCCCACTACAAACAGAACACATTACATCTCCAGCACACACACATACATAAACACATAGGGAGATATTAGCCAGGTGGCATAGGACTAGTATTTAACACCTGACAAGGCAGCTCCTGCGAATTCCTCAAAAAATGTATTGATTGATGTATATCCTAATTGTATTAATTGTATATATATATACTGTAAAGCGCTTTAGAGTGTCCTTTGTTAGCTAGATAGGGGGCTATATCAAATGCTGTATATTATTATTATTATTAATTATTTGTTGTGCATATAGTTTAACTTGTATACTAACATATTACAAGAGGTTCCGACTTCGTCATGTTTGTAGGATTAAGATAAAACAAAGACAAGTCGAGTATTTGACAATTTTACTGCATTAAAATCTTTATGTCAACAATGCATGTATCTTCATTTGTCAAACCCGATGACTGTTCACAGATGTACACTTCAATGAAGTTCCCCAAGAATGATAAAACAATAAAAAAAAAGAAGGATGACATCAACAACAACAGAAATTCTGAAAAACTTCTTTTCTTTTCAAACATGTCATCCAATACAAATACGTAAAATTTCTCCCATCAGGCGGTTTAGTAATATCTACCAACATAGTGTTTCCTGGAACTAAGGGAGATAAACCGTACCATCACAACATAAAACTGAACGTTCATTGCACTGTCACATTTCAGAAAGTTACGTGAATAATAACATTTTCAACAAGCAGTTTGAATAACATAAAAAACAAAATTACACGAGAATAAGAACTATTTCTCATTTCTAACACAATTCTAATTGCAAACTATTACTAATCAGAGTTCCTTTGAGGAAGAAAAGGCAATTCTGATGAAAATGTTCAGCTTAATTTGATAGTACATATACAGGATGATAGCGACATGTTTTTTTTAGATCCTTTCTGTTCTAGAAGTTTATGAGGTTGTTTTTTTTAAACGAAATGTACAGAAAACAAAACTTAAGCCAGACTGCTGAATGCAAAGATGTTTAAAGGAATGCTAATGATTGCCATTTGATAGTCGTATGTAGTCAAGACAATAAATCAGGAGAGACAACTCCGGAAATTCAACGTTCTATATAGAACAATTCAGTCTCCAAATGGCTGAACAATTTGCAAGCTGTATCACTACTTGTTCCATAAAAAATCTTCGACTATGTGGAAAATCATTTATTACAATATTACAGACCACTTACTGTCAAAATACTAATAACTTCCACCAATAAAACAGATTTGCGTTTAGGTACAACAAAATCTTATCTTCATTGTGTTTGCAGAGTGCTGATGCACTTAACTGCGCTTAGTAACATGCAAACATCAGACCTGTGACTCTAGTCTTCTGCTTCTGGCCATAATGTACAACCTTATTAAAGTTTGTCAGACCTTAGCTATTTCTTATTCACATATTTACCAGTACTGTACTTTATTTTAACCACAAAATATCACAAAAAAAATATCTTTTTAAACTAAACAAGAACTCGTTTCATAAACTTATTGCTTGTAAATATCATAATATCAATGTTTGGTTTTAAACACAATCATTGAATTAATTGCCTGTGAATATCACGTTTTTCAAAAACTTTCATGACAACTGTACCTGTAAGTATACATGTATATATCTATATCAATGTTAGACTTCCTATGTTCATGTACATAGCGAACACATAGCTACCCGACAGCACACACAAACCCTCTCAAAGTACACACTCTCATTAGGGAAGACAGAGACAGTAAGATAAGAAAGGAAAACAGATGAAAGCGATGATCGGATATTTAAAATATATTTACAATTTAAAACGGAAAAGAAAAGATGTATGCAAAACCTAATGGCAGGTGAGAGCGCTGACATACAACGTTACATTTACAATTTACAAGGCAAAGCTACATATCATGTATAGGACTATAAATACTGGTAACACTGCAGCTCATTGTCGTCCAAACCGTCAGTGACAGCCACGCTTAATGGACAAATCTTACACTGAATGATTCTCAGACCACATGCATATGATATATAGCACAGTATTTCAATGAAACACAACAACATGTTAATTTATCTGATTTACAAATGCTTTGATGCATGAGGACAGGAAAAGACGCAACTAAAACATGAATTTTAGAACTGAAATGCAAAAAATTTAGGTAAAAGTTAAGTCATTTGCTGATTTTCTTACAACATTCTACAACAAGATAAAAAAAAACATTAACTAAAACCTTAAAACAAAATGAGTATAAAGTTGGTCCATTTATATGCCACACGGCGCCGATATTTATTTGCTAAAACCTTTAATTAATTTCGGCAATGCCCAGTCTATAAATTTAACATGTCCAGTCTGAAACATGATCTCTCCAGCCCGGACACTGTCCAGTGCCCCTGACCTCTAAGCAGGCTTTTTGTTGTATACCAGGTATATGAAATCATACATAGTAACACACATAATTAGTCAACAGAAAGCTATAGTTCAATACCTGAAATTGACTTTAAACTCTATACATCTATAAATCTTTATTTTTCAAATCAAATTTTGTTTTTAAATTTCAGGAATGTTAACTATTTTACACAGCCCATATAAACCTAACTTAAATATTACAAGTACAATGTTTAGTAATTAATCTAGTACTAAACTATACTCACACCTGAACACCGTCATCCTTATAATGATCATGTTATCCCAGACACAGGGCTGTGGATCAATGATTTATATCACAACTAAGTATATTTCCAATACATCTCACAGAACTAACCAGCAAACGACTTTCCTAAATTGAGTTACTTGGATTCTTGCTCAAATAGCTTTCTTCTCGGAATTGTCTTCTCCTTTTTAATCGAGTTATTTTTAAATTGATTAGCAGGCATACAGCAACATAATTGGAATTTTTCGTGAGGATGATAATGTATATTCTTAACTTGTGTCAGATTTTGGATTGAAACAATAGCTTACAGCAAATCTTAGCAAACTCAAGATTACAAATCGCTTTAAGAATAGTAAATTAGTAAATTTAAAATTGATATCTGGCATACCTAAGATTGCAATCTGTAGCAAAAAGAGTAAATTTAATACTCAGATACACATATCTATATCAGGCACACCCTGTATTTCGAATTACTGTAATACAGGGGAAATGAAATTCACATGGGGCCATACAAAATTACAAATTACTGCAAGACAGGGAAAAATAATATTCACATCCTTCTGTGCCTGATAAACTGTATAAACAACTTACAAGTAAGGAAAAATGAACTACGAAAAGACCAAAGTGTTTGTACATGTGTTATAACAGACAAATGACCACTAACTCACCGTTAACGCATTCACCCCTGAAATTTCATAATGAACTATTCCAACCTTTGAATTGGAAGAATTCAAATGTGTGTCTTCAGGGGAGAATTATGATGTTTTGATGTCTTTATTTCACATTATGCATACATGACAACTCAAAAGTCTTAGCTATTTTTGTACATGATGAAAGTTATTTTGTATGTACATGATGAAAGTTATTTTTGTATGAACATGATATAAGAACCAGCTGATCAACAGCTGTTATTTTGATGTGTTGTGGGTGTGTTAGCAATACAGGGACTATTATTATGTTACTGATCATTAGTGTTTCACAAAATGCTGATTGTGAAAATGAATGGAAAATATATTTCTTCTTATTAAGATTTAAGATTATATTACACAATGATTTTTTATATTTATAAGGTACATTATATGTACCTTCAGATATCACTTTGAATCTTTTTTCTCTCCAAAGAAATTTGCAAAATCACAAAGTGGCAGGCAAGAGATGACAATGGCAAATCTGCTTGTAAGGTGTAATAACTCTGTACTCATGTCCCCATGGTCAGGGACCCAGAGACTGTACAAATTATTATAAATAATATTACATAGTGGGTAAATTTACTGTAATGCTAGAGAATGTACACATGACATAGATCAATTAACTTCAAAGCTTGAGACTTAAGAACTATACAGGTCAATATACTTCTGCTGACCATTGACACTGAACTACTATATATCTTACAATGTTGTAGACATACCCATCCCTGCATCCCGAATCAAGCATACCACTGCTTCAGTTCTCCTTCATATACCACCGTACTTCACCAGTGATAAGCCCAGGGGGCCTGTGCCCATGAAAACATGTCAAAATTAGGGGGTGGGCTTATCACCGATTATAAACCTATATATGTGTATGTATGGGTACAGATCTACTCCTTAAATCTCCATAATGGGTCAAAGTTCAAACTATAAATGCAAAATGGTGGTCTTACATGCAGACTTTAACTCATTCACCCCTACATATTTAAACTGGACTTTCCCGGTCTATGATTTGGGTAAGGTTCAAATGTGACGTTAGGGGTGAGTGGGTTAATGTATGATAAAGATGCCAATATCACTTTGAGTCTACTTCAAGTCCACTTTGAGCTTCTAGTACAAGTAAGTTAGTCAATGTTAAGGTTCTATGTATCAGGATCTAAGCTAATGGAGACAGACTGACAGTGTAGGTGACATTGGGTGTAGGGGATATCAGAATCTAAGCTTTATATTATTTTAGACAGGGTCAAAGTGTAGGTGACATTGGGGTGTAGGGTATATCAGGATCTAAGCTTTATATTATTTTAGACAGTGTCAAAGTGTAGGTGGCATTGGGGTGTAGGGTATATCAGAATCTAAGCTTTATATTATTTTAGACAGGGTCAAAGTGTAGGTGACATTGGGGTGTAGGGTATGTCAGAATCTAAGCTTTATATTATTTTAGACAGTGTGAAAGTGTAGGTGACATTGGGGTGTAGGGTATATTAGAATCTAAGCTTTATATTATTTTAGACAGTGTCAAAGTGTAAGTGGCATTGGGGTGTAGGGTATATCAGAATCTAAGCTTTATATTATTTTAGACGGTGTCAAAGTGTAGGTGACATTGGGGTGTAGGGTATGTCAGAATCTAAGCTTTATATTATTTTAGACAGTGTGAAAGTGTAGGTGACATTGGGGTGTAGGGTATATCATAATCTAAGTTTTATATTATTTTAGACAGTGTCAAAGTGTAGGTTACATTGGGGTGTAGGGTATATCAGAGTATAAGCTTTAGACAGTCTGACAGTGTAGGTGACATTGGAGTGTAGGGTATATCAGAATATAAGCTTTATATTATTTTAGACGGTGTCAAAGTGTAGGTGACATTGGGGTGTAGGGTATATCAGGATCTAAGCTTTATATTATTTTAGACAGTGTCAAAGTGTAGGTTACATTGGGGTGTAGGGTATATCAGAGTATAAGCTTTAGACAGTCTGACAGTGTAGGTGACATTGGAGTGTAGGGTATATCAGAATATAAGCTTTATATTATTTTAGACAGTGTCAAAGTGTAGGTTACATTGGGGTGTAGGGTATATCAGAGTATAAGCTTTATATTATTTTAGACAGTGTCAAAGTGTAAGTGACATTGGGGTGTAGGGTATATCAGAATCTAAGCTTTATATTATTTTAGGCAGTGTCAAAGTGTAGGTGACATTGGGGTGTAGGGTATAGCAGAATCTAAGCTTTATATTATTTTAGACAGTGTTAAAGTGTAGGTGACATTGGGGTGTAGGGTATATCAGAATATAAGCTTTATATTATTTTAGACAGTGTCAAAGTGTAGGTGGCATTGGGGTGTAGGGTATATCAGAATCTAAGCTTTATATTATTTTAGACAGTGTCAAAGTGTAGGTGACATTGGGGTGAAGGGTATATCAGAATATTAGCTTTAGACAGTGTTAAAGTGTAGGTGGGATCTAGTATAAATCAAAATTGAAACGTTTCAAAGAACATTTAATAAGGAAAATGAGGAAAAAATATAACTTGATAATACATTGAAACTCATGATGCTGTTGGAATTATATTCTTTTATCTCAACATCATTTTGATAACTTAAGGTCATGCAAAATATACCCAAAAATTAAAATAGATTTTAAACAACATGAAAAATGTCTTAATAGAATACCATCATAACCTATAAGTTCAATATGGCACTTCCGATAAACTGCTACAGCAAGTTAAATGCTGATGCCCACTGGCCTGGATGTAGACACAAAGTCTCTATAATACCAAATCCCCCCTGATCTCAGAAGTGTGACTAACGATTTGTGTGACCTCTACACCATCAAACACCATCCTGAACATGTGAGGTTAAAAACTCAGAAGGTCTTACCCTCTAACAAATGTTAAACCGCTAGCATGTTTTCCCGATACTCTAGATAATGAGACATTTGTAAATGATATGACAAGCTCAGATCCAGGTATGATTAAAGTTACTATGTGTGTGGCATCATACACAGATAACAACAGAATAGTATTAACGACCTATTAAAGGTCAAGCTGCCTCTTCCACCACACAAACAATGTGGTGAAGAAATGAGACTGGTACAGACTTTTTCCAGCATCTTTTATCTCAATACCAGCGGGTTGTACCTTCAGGTCACTCCCTGCCATGTATCACCTTAGTACCTGGAGGCGAAGCTCCGGCTGGTTCCTGCCACATCCAGCCGCTGCCTCTTGTTGGAGGGGTAGGAGTCGGCGTAGTGTCCTCCTATCCCCTGGGAGTGCTGACCTACATACTCCGACTCCGGGCTGGGCTCTGGGGGAGGGAGAAGGTGACTGTAGCTCCTCTTCTGACCAATGGGTGTCTTCTACAATATCAAAGATTTCAACACAGCTTTATTAATTTACAGATCTTCAAACAAAATCAAGAAAATATATCCAGTACTCTTTAATAGCGATACATTAAGTTTCTGTGGAGGAGCTTTTACCACATGATTTAAAAAAAAATTGGTTTCAATCATTACCTCATTTAACCCTTTCACCCCTATGTAACTTTAATACACTCTTCCATACATTGATCTGGATAAGTCCATTATGGTCTACAGTGGTGAAAGGGTAAAGCTCAATGAATAATACAAATGTATGGGGAAAATGATGAAAACTTCCTTTGAATTCAATTGAAATCTTCTAGTGGAGAAGAATGAATAAAAATCATGAAAATTAGTTTGATATTTGATTTTCTAGACACTCTGGCCGTTTTGTTCACAATCTAGATTTTCATTCACTCCAGATATTTGGTTCACTTACAGAAACAAACAAATCAAACTAAGCGGGACTAACACCTGTACCCTGGTGAACATTCAATGAGCTTCCTTCATTTTCACAGTTCCTCTTAAGAAATATGGATAATAAGAATTGCTTTTGGAAAATCAAACAACAGACAAACAACAGATATATGGACAATGACCATGGATAAAAGGCAATTTGAACAGTCCACCATCTGGTGATGAATGGCTTAAAAAAAATATCACTTGTATCTTATAAAAGTTTTGATTTGGTCAAATAACATTTTTAAGAAAATGTAAGAGACTCGGGATACATACCAAGAGGCCTGCTGACCCTATTGGCCTGCTGCCTAGGAGGCCCTGGTTGGCGGCTTGGTTTCCGATGTGTGGTAACCCTGTTCTTCCCTGGCCTGAGGAGCCTCCTGCTAGTCTTGTCCGTGGTTTCTCTCCTAACAGACTTGTTTGTTTTCCTTCGGTATTTGAGAAGGAAAATACACCTGGGGGTGTCGACAGGAGGGAATGAGGTGAACTGGACCGACCTCTTGGTGTGGACAGCAGGCTCTGGGAACTACCTCCTGGTGTGGCCAGAAGACCCTGAGAACCAGGCGTTGATAATAAAGGATGACTTGCCGTGTTGTTACCGGATGAGGCTCCCTGCCAGCTCTGTGGCTGTTGACTTCGACCTTGTGGTGTGCCAAGTAGAGACGATTTTTCTGACTGACGACCACCATATTGCGACGACTGATAGTCATTGTTTTTGTAGCCATCTTTGCCGTTACCACTGTAAGATCCGTAGCTACCACCATCCTCACCGGACCCACTGTATTGTCTGTAGGTATCACTGTCCACACCGTTATCGCTACAGTAACCGTAGTCATTACCCTTCCCACTGCTATAACTGTCATAGTTCCCCCCACTGCTGTAGTCACTGTAGCCGTTGTTACCACCCGCGGCGCCCTGGTAGCTGGTGTTGGTCGTCGCAGCGTAGGCTATAGCCTTGGCAGCCATGCTCTCATACTCCGAACCGACATTCTGAAAAACACAATCACACTGCTATCAAATTGGTATGTTTTATGAAAAAAAATATTATAACTAACATTGATAAACCTTAAGTATTCTAAAACATACTAGATTTTGAAAATTTGAATGTCTCTTCCAAATTTATAGTGTATAGTTCATAATATTTGCGGCGGATTTAATTTCGCTATATTACGATTACCATCCCAAAGATTGCACAAAAATTAAATATTCAGGAAATATAAACACCATGAACTATAATCTCAGATAATATATTTTTTACAGACACAAAAAAACAACTCTTGTTTACCTGTGTTCTGTTGAATATTGAAGATAAAACAACAATGCAATATTGCATTTTACTTGATTTTCACAAAAAAACACGTTACTAGTTCTGAAATATTATCCCCAAACTACTATACATATACAGTAGAAGTGGAATCAACCACTAGTGAGGATGCTTTTTTACATTTAGCAAATTAAAACTTCTTGTAAGATAATAACTTTTGTTAGGTTAACAAATAGACAGTATGGTTATCTGACTTACGGGAGTGCTCTCCTGCTGCTGGTAGTAGTCATAACTGGTACTGCCAGGTCGGGATAGTAAACTGGTGTTACCCTGAAATTGACCATAAACGTACAGTGTATATTGCAACTCTCCACTTAAAAAATAACCCAACAATTGAAGAGAGTTTGAAAAATTGGTTTGAATATAACAAAATTAACCCATTCACCCCTAAAGTCACATTTAAACCTTACCAAATCAAAAAATAATAATAATAATAATTTGAGGTTCCGATATACCGCTTTATCACAACCTAGTTCGTAGGTCCTCTGAAAGCGGTTCACAAATTATTATCCGTGGTTATAGGGCCTTTCCAACCAGCCAATATCTTTCTAAACTCCCTGGGGAGCATACAGCCGGTGCTGCCATTTCGGCGCTCACAGCTAGCATTCAACATTTCTAGCACAGCCCAACTACATACTCATTTACAGCTGAGTAGACTGGAACAAGCGGAGTCAAGTATCTTGCTCAAAGATACAACATAGTGCCGTACCGTGACTCGAACTCGCAACCCTTCCGTCACGAGCCCGGCATCCTACCACTCGACTACTGTGCCTCCTAATCAAAGTCTGGGCAAGTCCTGTTTAGATATTTAGGGGTGAATGAGTTAATTGAAATTTTTAATATGATATTAGCTCTCACATAACAGCACATTTTATCAACAGACAAGAAATGGCAATTTTTTTTTACAATTTCTTATTCAGGATGTCATTGATTTATTTTTATACCACTATCTGTTACACCTAAAATCACTAGTGATTGTGTTATTACAACACTTAATAAAGTAAACGATTGCTGCTTATAATCGATCGATCAGCTATCAATATGCTTCTACCCTGACCTGTGAGTTAAAGCTGGAGTCGCCGCGTCCTGAGTTGAAGCTACTGTCAGTGTAGTTGTTGGAGGATGAAGAACCATGTCGACTGTAGCCACCGTATCCAGAGTCGTCTCTGCTGGAGTTATCCCCCTGTCAACACACATCACCATTAAAATACATGTATATCATGTCATATACCTTGACTCGTATCACTGTGGGTCATATATTACGTTTTGTGAGTTGTTCTCAAGTAGTGAAATAAAAAATATGATCTGATTACAATAATAGGATGACAAAGTTATAAACATAACACAAAATAGAAGACTGACTAATAGTTAACTAATTACAGGTAGGATATATATAGACAGACCAAGTTAACAGACTAAAAGTGACCTCCTTGGAATCATAGCTCTATCTGATCCTAAAAAGTCGTGTCGTCACTCTCTGTTGGTAGTTCAACTTAAGTATACTCATAACACTTAACGTGTAATGATAATAAAATTTTGTTGTATTTTTTTCCAAACATTTTGTTAGAACATTGATGTTTAACTTTGATGATTAACATTGATGTTTAACATTGATGTTTAACTTTGATTTTTAACATTGATGTTTAACTTTGATGTTTAACTTTTTAACATTATTTTCAGAAGAAATGTTTTTCATTTTGTCATTTGAAAAATTGTTCGAACAGGTAAACCTGTAATGTCAAGAAATCAGACATAACACGAAGAAGAGCAATGTATCAAATACATCTACGTGTCAGGGAGTTGCATCAGAACCTATAATTTCCCCCTGATAGGATTAGCAGCAAAATGGCTCAGAATTAATGCAGGTTTTACTAGCATCACACAATTTTATTAGACAAAGCCAATTATCGGAGAAAATACGGTAATATTACTTCATTGCAACACATGATTCAGTTATATCTGTCTACTAATTTACCAGTATATGAATAAATAGCAACCATGCATGTACTTTAAAGGTATCTTACCGAAACCGTGTTTCTACTTGATCCTTATGTTATACAGATTTAACATTTGACAATATGTGTTGCTATGTTGTCAATTGACTCAGGTCCATACATACCTGGTGTTGTCCAGATGTCGAGTAGCTGTCCTTGTTGACTCCGTAGTCTGACCCTGGCTCCGGCAACAGTCCATCTCTTAGTCCGGGCAGCCGTTTGGGTACTAGAGATGGTGGTTCGCCCAACAGGGACTTACCACCTGTCCCAGTCTGATTATTAGGCCTGGGCATACCAACGCCAGACTGATTAGGTCTGTTGTGACCATAGCCATCCCCAGATTGGACACGCCTACCTAGATCGTAGCCATCACCGGATTGGTCACGCCTACCTTGATTGTAGCCATCACCGGATTGGTCACGCCTACCTTGATTGTAGCCATCACTGGTTTGGTCACGCCTACTCTGGCCATAGCTATCACCAAGCTGGCCACGCCCACTATGGCCATATTCATCACCAAATTGGCCACGCCCACTATGACTATATTCATCACCAAATCGGCTACGTCCACTTTGACCATAGTTGTCAGCAGATTGTCCATTCCCACTTTGATTGTACCTGGGTTGTCCCTGTCCACCACGCCCAGACAAACCCTGACCAGTATGACTAGAGATATTGCCATCCAACAGACTAGGCATTTCTGTTGGCTGCATTGGCTTCTTCTGACCAGCCAGCATCTGTATATTATTCATAAAATTCTGAGACATTTTTATTCTGTCTAGCCGTGGAGCTTCCCCTAGTAGTCCCCCGGTAGACCTTGACTTGGCCATGTCTCCATCAAAGTGACTTTTAACGTTCGGTGGTAACAGGGGGCGTGGCATCGGATTGGTCTCGGCTTTCATCAGTGGTTTGATGCCCGAGTCTATTTGCTGCCTGAACTGCACTGACGATGTCAGCTGCCCGAGATTTGTTAGCCAGCCCAGGTTGAGATTTTGTATGTTGACAGCTAGTGATTGTAGCAGTGGTGAAGTTGAACTCTCCTCTGCCTTGGGTGATAAAGTGCTGCCCCCTGCTGGAGAAGTTGTGGATGAGGGGGATAGCTGAGACATGAGGTTCTGTAAAATGATATTGGCCTGAGCCGAGACTGGGTCCCCCAGTATTGATGGCTTGTCACCCTGTTGATAAATGAAATAATGGATAATGAAATCTTTAAATGTCTTAACTATAAATCATCTCTTTATATAAAATCCTGTTCGACAAAATGTGTGGTTTTATTTGACAAATGAAAAACTATGGAACCTTTCAAGGTCACAGTCTATCATATCCACAAACAGGTTTGGAGTATTTAACCTTCTATAAGGTTCGTTATTAAAGTAAAAATTAATTCTCTTCAATTACTGGAAAATCAAAAATTATAGTGTAAGTTTTTGTTGTACTTAAAGATATTTACATTACACCCATTAAAACACCAGAAAATAGAATGTCTAAAATGTCTATCCTGAGCTTCGAGGCTATCGCATCCTTTAGCAGACATGTTTGTCCTTCAACTTACAGTTTGATGGTTACCAAGCAGCGGAAGCAAGTTCAACGGGCCAGCCACCTGGAAAGTATCAAGTTGTAAAGTTCTCAATCAATGCATATTCAGATTTTTTTTTTATCACATAATGTACTGTTATCCAGTGAATATACTCATGTCATATTTTTTGGCGTATTAACCCATGTAATATGACCTATCAGCCCTGTGATTGGTTGTAAGTTTCAATTGTGACACCACGCCTAGGACAAATACAAGACATCTCAGACTTTGGCACTGGAGTCAAACTGGCGGCTTTATACATTTCAAAGTTGCAAGAAAATTATCTTTTTACACAAATAAATGCCACAAATCTTGATTATGTGATAATGAAGATCTTACACTCCTTTCTATTTCATATGAAATTTATGAAACTCGCCACAAATTTTTCATTTTAGCTCGGCAGAGGCTCACTAAATTGAATCTATTTCTGAGAATGACTTTGTATGAAAACAGTACATTGATTGGTTCACTATAGTTACAATGCAGAGGCCGTGACATTTACCGAAACTTTGACTTCACAAAAAAAAATATACAAAGTCCCAATCTATCGCAAAGTTACAGAATGTAGTAGTTTTTGTGGCAACGTGACCAACTTGATTGGAATCCGATCAAGACTTTCATAATGCATGACATCATTTTTAGAGAGTGACCAAAGCAGAAACACTGATACATTTTTTATATAGTATATACATAATGTACCCCATCTTCGACACTCCAGGGGTTATGGTTATAATCACTTAGATTCTCCGCCCCCCCCCCCCCAACCGCCCCCCTGGAATATGTCATAAGCAAAATCGAAGGCTTAGTGTGTGCCACCTTGTAGATGAGATGAGAAGACTAGTTCGATCTTTTGATGTTTATCAAAAGAATCTCTCGACCACATGACGGTAAAATTGACTGGCTTTGAAGTCAGGTGTTGCTCCTTTGTAACCTTTAAAGGACAGGTATCAGGCTAGCGATTGGTCAGTTTTTACCCGAGTCCAATCAAACAGCTATCTTTGTGCCTTCAGCCTTCAATATTGCTAAAACATATTCCAGCTGGGGTGCATAGAGCGAAAGTGAGCGTAACCCCTGGAGTATCGAGGATGAATGTACCTATAAGTACAAAGAACCAATACGTTGAATCATTTCCATCGTTTGTTAATGGGTGTTATAGGATATACCTCCCACACATGCTTACCTGGTGCTGGGACCGGACCTGCGTCTGTAGAGCCAACAGTATTATCAGGCCCATTTGCATGTTAGGGTTCATCAATGGACTCATACCTACAGATGGTGCCGGGCCAAGTAAACCTACAAACATATCACATCGGTACATGTCACGCACCACACAACTATAAGGATTGCTTGTAATTTCATATATTTGTTTGTTTGTGTTTAACGGCCCATCGACGGCTGTGGTTATTTAGGGTCATGGTGATTTTTGTTTGTTTTTAAACAAACATGTGAAAAGCGAAGATAAAATCATATTTTACACTAAGATATGACAAGACTTAAACAATTTGATTGGTGAACATACGAACAAATACTATCAAAAATTCCTGTACAAGAAAAAAATGGATTTTCTCTTGAATTTTACTTAAAAACAATAAGTAAAATAAACAATAATTAAATTTGATTGGTGTTTATATGAAAAAATATTGTCCAAAATTCCTGTACAAGAAGAAAAGGATTTTCTCTTCAATTTTATTTAATTGTAAACCCTGGATGAAAACAAAAACCTACCATCCGTATTCAATGAAAATAAAATAGTAAGAAAAAACAAACCCAGAAGTTTATAAATAAGTATTGCTTACTTATTTATAGCTGCTTCAATTAACCATATATTTTTTATCTACATTTGTGTGGACTTTTAAAACATACCTGGTTTTGCCGATTTCAAGTTCATCTGTGTGACGTAGGTCTGCTGGAGCTGGTGTAAAGCTGTCTTGAAATGTGTTATTACTGAAAAACAATAATGGTCAATCTAGTAAAAATGGACAGTAACAACATAGATATATACAAACAAGAGGCACAGGCTCACCTGGTACAGCTGTATTTGATAGCTCACCCTGGTATTTGATTTTCAATTAAAAAGCTGCAGAGTATGCACCAAATGCCATTTTATCAAATGAGTACAAAAAAATACAAATGGCAAGAAGGACTAGATGTAAATCTGTTTAGATTGGTAAGATACTGGTAAGAACATGAGTGTATTCTTCATGTCCAGCAGTTTTGTCAATGGTTATTGAGTGGGGTTATCCAGGTGTCAGAGCTAAAAGCATTAGTGTGTCAGATCAGTAATGTAATGGTCCCGAGTTCCCCCCCACACAGGTAGAGTTTTAATTTTAATTTTAATTTAATTTTAATCATTTTTTGTTGTTGTAAATAGTAGTTTAACTAGTAATTCTAAATTCTAAACAAATAGTACTCTTTGCTTTAAGACTGTAATTAATATATTTCTATTGCTGTGATATCGCTATGGCGGGTACGTATATAGCGGACGTCGTTATAGCGAACTATTATATGACGTCATAGTTTATGCATCACAACATATACTTCAAATAAACAGTCTGAAGAATCTCCTAGAAGAGATGAAAGTAAACTAAAGACTTTGTGTTGAGAATTTAATACATATATATATATATATTTTCATAACAATCAATCTCATAGCTAAAATATGTGCATATATACCGTATAATCATAAAATAAAATTCAAATTTAAAACTAGTTTTAAAACATTCTATAATTTTCCTTTGATGACTCCAGCTTCTGAGCCCGCTTTTTATTTGTAAGTATGTTAGATACACATAATTCTGTGGTCAACCTGAAGACAAGATCTATGACTTACACTGGGGATGTTGGTCACACAGGTCCAGAACTAAGGGATGGTTCAACACAGACGTGTTGGGAAATATTGGGTCCGGCAACAAGCTGGGCTTGGAGGACGACATGTCATCCTGTCATAGTGAAGGAATTACATGATGTTAACAAATCCCAAACAAGATTACGACAAGATTAAATGTTATTACAGTAAAAAAGTGACAGTACATTATTTATATGACAAACCAAAAGATCAATAATCTTGTGGACAAAGACATTTTCAGAAATCTAAGATTTAGATATTTTCAAAAAGATTTTTTTTCCAGAAATTAGGTACTGCTTTAATATAAAACCTCAATACATATAGTAAACCACAGCAGTAGAATAAGAGGTTTGTATGTTGTATTACAAGAATTACATGAATTAGAAAGTTGCTGTCGGCTATATCTGTAACCGAGTATTATCACTCAGATAATACTGTTAATTTGATAATACAGTTTGATCACTTACATATTACTGATACATAGTATTTTGTAAGCTATAAAAGCAAGTGAACTCACAAACTTGACGAGTAGCCTGGAACAGATCTCCACGGCAGACTTGCCCGGGATACAGTAGGTGACCCTTAGGGTTGTCTGATGGAGTTTGTAGCCGCTCAGCAGTGTCTGTGTATTCTCGGCAGCCTTTGGGTCAGCATACTCTATTATACCAAAGCCGAGGGGCTCCCCTTCCTTCAGCACCACCTGACACAGAGAGAGTATGTTGCCATTATATATTATGCAATTAGAGAAAAAAATCTTCAATTATGAAAGCATATTCTTTAAAATTATACCAAGCACAAAAAAAAAAAGAAGCTTTGTTGATTAAAATATGTTATTGGGTTGCTAAATTCTAGCTACAGAAATCAACATGCATACTGTAGCAACATTCGTATTTCAGCACTTTCTGTACAGACATGTACACTGTAAGTAATTATTCTAAAATGAGACCCTGTAGGCATACATATTGCTCTGACATATCACTTGGCATCTTATCACAATGCTTGCAAGAGGAAGAAAATCTCACGAGTCAGAGACTCTTAGCCTTGGAATCCGAAATCTAGTTTCGTAAAAAATAAGTCACCCGGCATTTACAGCACATGTTGTACCTAAACACGACATAATATCACACACATTTTTCTGCACATCCAAACATTTACAAACCAAGTACATCAACACATCGCATCCAGGGAAAAACTCTATAAACGATCTTAAATAAAATTGAGATATATACCAAGTATGTTACTGCCTCGTAATTATATATATATAACCTGACACATTTGCAAACTTCCATTTCATACAGGAGTTTAAATATCAACCCATTCACCCCTAAAATCACATTTAAACCTTACCAAATCAAAGACTGGGCAAGTCCAGTTTAGATATGTAGGGTAGAATGAGTAAAATGTTAATTTTCATGCAATCTGACACATCTGTAAACTTCTATTTCATACAAGGGTGACCTGTGATATCTTGAAGCATACAGATAACATTTCTATTGTAAAGTTTGTTCCACTGAATTGATCTTGTGTAAGTTACCTGGCAGTATATGGGACTGGCATGGCGACTGAATATTTCCCTGAAGTTGGAGTTGTCTTTGTAATCCAAGGGGAGATTATCCACCAGGAGACAGCGGGAGTGGAGGTTCTGGTAGGCCGAGCTGGTTTGTTGACTGATGACATCACAGTTGATCTTGTTCCCTCTCACCTCTCTCCAGTCTAGCTCTGCTGCTATCTGTTTGGTTCTGTCGAGATTGGTCTTAAACTCCACCAGTCCGTAGCCTTTACTTTGGCCTGAATGAACACAACAGAGAATATGTCAAATGTAAACCTTTGATGAATCATTTCTTCATAACTTTAAACTTAATTTTGGGCAAATTACACAAGTTTTTACAGTATTCATTTAAATTTTTGTATTTCTTCTTTTAACTCAACTTTTTTTCTCCCTCAGAAAAATTTCATTTTCTGAGGGAGATTGGTTTTATTTTAACATATTTGTTTTTTAAATAATAGATTTTTACAATGAATGTCTCTAATATGAGAGTGAACTTATCCAAAAGATGGAGTAGATTCTGGCCTATTTAATTAATAGATGCTGGGGTACCAATTAGAATCAACCTAAGGTCAGTAATCCTGATACTGATCAACAACAACAGGCACAGACATTGTAATACAGTCAACAGTCGAAATGTTTAGTTAATTGTACAGTGATACAATAACATGGCACAATTTGTGCATTAGAACAAATGTCCACTCACGTTTAACCCGATGTCTCAGGCTTTTGAAAACCCCTATCGATTAGCAGGGCTTGTTTGGACCGAATTTAAGGCTTCTTAACCTATAAATTACATGATAGGAAAAATATAATCCAACCAGACCTAAGGTAATTATTTCACCGTGTCTGAACAGAAGGCTATTGAAAACTCCTATAAATTAACAGGGCTTGTTTGGACCGAATTTAAGGCTTCTTAACCTATAAATTACATGATAGGAAAAATATAATCTAACCAGACCTAAGGTAATTATTTCACTGTGGCTGAACAGAAGACACATATATATATCATCTTTGTACACCTTTGATTTTCACATCTTAAAGACATACCTGTGTCATCAGCTCGGAACATAAAGCACTTAAGAGTATCACCGAGGGGAGAGACCATTGTTTTGAGTTCCTTGTCCGTAAAATCGACAGGGAGGTGTGCTAGACACAAAAGGCGGTCTGGTGCCAGAATACATATGGAAATGGTGTGGTCCAGCATTCTTGCCTGGTTCAATTCTTCATAGATATTCTCTGCATCCTCACCATTTTTTAAAGTCACCACAGCTGTGAAAGTAAAAATATATAATATTCATATAATTTTTATAAAGAATTACACAAAAGACATTTAACAAGCAATATGTTAAAAGAAATACAGAACGGGAATAAATAAAAGTTGAAAGTCAAAATAAAAAGTTGAGTGAATATCTATAGAAACTTTACCTATGGTATAACTTTTAACTATAACTTCACTATTCAACCTGTGTTAACTTGCATTGATACTCCTTGTTTGTAATAAGTTATGATAAGTGTTTTGTTGGCCAAATGTACACTAGATCAGCATATTAACAAATGCATGTCTTGTATGTATAATTGTAATTCAAGCTTCACGCTTCGCTGCAATAGCTAAAATGAAGGATTAAGAAACTGTTTTCAAAACCTTACATTTTTTCTGATTACATAAATAAATATATCCAATATAAGCTTATTTGAAAGTCATTAACTGCAGTACCCAAGTTTCAACTAGAAATTATTGCGAAACACAAACCTTCTTTTTCTTTACTGTTCATGTCAATTTCGTCCAATTCATATTCCCCCAGGAATAGATCAACCTCCTGAAATTAAACAGATCATTAAGTTTTTGATCATTCAGCATAATATAATTTACTGGTCCCCGTAGAAGAACTGCTTGATGTTTAAAGAAACTCATAGTCAAATGTATTGCTAGAACCATTTTTGTCACCTTTGAAGAAAATAATTACGTTATTAGCAGGTAGGGAATAATTCCTTTGACTTTCTGAGACAGAGTTAACAATCGTGAGTTTCCATTGTGTGGTATATAGATATGCTTACATGCTCTTCAGTGTTCTTCAAAACAGAACACAGAAAGTTTGGATTTCAATTCTAAGATTTCAAATTGTTTTTTCTTTATTTCTCTCTCACAAAAACAATATTTGTTGTATGTTATTTTTGCAATCTGTAAAGTATCTGAGTTAGAAGCCTGCCACTAAACTGTAAACACACAAAAACAGTTCAACCAAAAGATGTTTTAAATAAACATTACATATTGAAGTTTTTATTTGTACAACTGATATCCAAATTGTATACATGTAAACAGAAAGTGCAGGTACAGGTGATATGCAATGAACCATAAAATACATGTTCGTGGTACCAAGAAATCTCACAAATAGAAGAAATCACAGAAATTTTCAACCTGATAAATGTATTTAAATAATCACTGATAGTCCTTTTTGCCCTTTTAGAAGTCAATGAGGCTCACGAACTGGTTTGTACACCTTAACCCACGAACATCTGTTGTATATATATATGCATGAGATCACTGATATGATATGACTTGCCAATTAATTTGCAAATGCTAGATGTTTCAGTACCTTCAACCTTGTACATGTAGTTTGAGTACGTAAGGACAGGGTGTTTCGGTTTCTTTTTGTGGTGATGTAAAACGCTGAAGAATGTTCAAATAAAATCAGCAACATGTGCCGAAACGTCTGTACCATTTACTTTTAATAGTCAGCAAGTCTAAATTCCTGTTTTAATTGAGGAATAGGTTCCTGGTTATTTACGATGAAACATAAATGAAATGAAAACTACATCCATTACATCTCGTACATAACGGCCTACCGACAGTAGCATAGTCTGTATATATCATATAATATATACTGTAGGCCTATTTGTTACACGTGTGTATTGTTCTCGTATTCTTTACTTACGCCAAAAAGTCTTTTTAAAAAGAAATAATATCATATCATCTAATATATGTAAACAATCTGCAAAATATGGAACACTAAACTCATATGAGAAACGGTAGAGATCATGTGCAATTTTGTGGTTTTGAAATTCAAAATTGTTACCTCGTTCGTTGTGACGGGGATGTTTTTGATTGCTATTTTTCTACCGAAATTAAATTGTTTTCGACTTTCATTCAGCAAATCTAAGCTTTCACCGCTGCTGGCTGAGCTTTGATCGAGGTTTACGTCCGTCAAAGATGAAGGGCTGGAATGATCATTCAAATTTGTTTCTGTTCCTTCAGAATCCCTGCAGCCATCCATGGTGGTCGCCATATTGTGTGACGTCATAAAAATCGAGTCGAAAAGAAGGAAAACTTGTTCCGGAAATTTGACTGGCATACATACGCAATTTTAAAACGAGTGTTAATTAATGCAATAGTTAAATAGTTTTTTTCATGTTTTTCTAAAATCAATTTTTGATATAATGTACACGCATGTAAGTTGTTTTTAATAATTCCCTTAGACACACATTGCATTATCTCCCTTCTCAATATCAGAGACGTACATTTTGTCAAATATTGCAGTACCGCATTTGGTAATAAAACTGCAAACCAAAGGAGACGTATAACACCAATATGTATATATAAAATATATATACCCCTTATATAGGTTATTAGTTTTATCAGAGACGTATGATACACATCTCTGGTTTTATGCTTGTGTGTGCTAGGTATATATATCCCTGCTAGAGTAGACTATTAGGTCTAACCAGAGACGTATATGCAATGTATCTCTACATCTTGTCCTAAAGGAGCATTGTATCAATATGTGTGTGATTTTGGTCACCAGTACTATTTATCAAAACCTGTTAATATAAATTATTTAAAACAAATATGTAAAATTCGATTGTCTGCACATAAGTTAAATATTGAGTGTGGCAGATATAATAGAACTGAAAGACAAAACAGATTGTGTACAGTATGTGACCTGAATGATGTCGAGGATGAGTTCCATTTTATTTTAAAATGTCCTTGCTATATTGATATAAGGTTGAAACTAATTAAGAAATATTATGTAAGACATACAAGCATGTATAAATTAATTCAACTGCTTACTTGTGAGAATGTTACTGACATTAGAAATCTGGGCAAATTTTTAATACAAGCGAACAAAAGGAGATCTGAGCTGATTGCTGGTTAGTTTTCACTCTCCACGGTGTGTGTGTGTGTAGGCGCGTGTGTATGTGTGTAGGCGCGTGTGTATGTGTGTGTGAATCATATTGTATGTTATCTCTGTATTGTTTTGTATATATGTTCAGTTATAACTGATAAGTCAACCGACTTAAAGTAATAAAGAACTTGAACTTGAACATCAGCGTTCCTTGTCCGCGATGCTCTCAGCTTAATTGCTGCCTTCGGCTGTCTTTAGCCGAGGGGACTATTGGTTTTATATAATAGCTATATTTTCAATTATAGTATACCAATTCTATCTTCTTGTAATATGATGTACATGTAACTGTTCTGTTTCACTGTGTCTTGAAAAAGGAGCGGATCGCTCCGAAAATTTGACAACCTAACCTTGTCCACACTGTTGGAATTACTTCTTTGCCCCATATAATATTTTTAAGTAATTCGTTTCCTACGGACATACCTCCATTAGGATCCAGTGTTATATGGGATTTTACCGTCTATATTACTTCTTTGACCTATACATATAATAATATATACGTCTCTGGTCTAACAAGAGTGAATAAAGTAATTTTATATTATCTGGTGAAAATAAAATGATTGTTCTAGAAAGTTATTTTAATTATCCAGAAAAGCTAAATCACCCTTTGATGCATGTCTTAATTTTCTATATGACAGTGATATCCATGATCGGGGGGAAAAGAAAGACATACCAGCCAGTGTCCTTTGGTTTCAACAAATTTTGTTGTATTTGCAAAAGGATTAGACAACAGGCAGTGCCTTTATTAGTCTCCTCCTGAAACGGTACAACATATATACATTTATAAAGAATGATAAGATATATTTACAAAATTATCGATAATTAATTACGTATTGAAATAGATGGACATTTATATGGAAAAGATGTATATATGTTTGAATTAATTATATGGCTGAATGTTGAAACTACACACACTAATAACAAGGCTAACACTTCTACCAGTGGCGTAGATGACTAGTTCATTTGCGATGTTATGGTACAAGTACTGCGTCACTGGCAACATACATACTTCTAAACCCACACGCACACACACACACCCACACACATTCACAGAGCAGATTGATATAACGGGAAGTATTAAATAAAAATATCCTAATCAAATTCGAGTTAGGTGAATCTATTAGTTAAATCAATAAATTTCTCAACTTTAGATAATATATAATTATTAGTTTCTGGTGATAGCTCATTATCTCCTGATGTAAGTAATTTCAGACTAATAAATCCTACTACATTATATATTTCATAAAAATTCAGTCTGAAATCAGAATAATTAGGACAAAAAAAGAAAAAATGATCAGCATCTTCGCGCGGTGCTCCACAAGAACAACTGCCATCTTGAATAAGGTGATCAGTAAATTTATCAACTTGCTTTATGCCTGATTTGACAAAGTATCATATTAAAATTCCTAGGATTGCACTGTTTAAAGATCAGGGAAATATTGTCGACTTGATTATCAAAATAATTTTGAAGTTTGTATTTGAAGGAAGTAAGGGAATTAGCAGGTGTTATAGAAGAATCTAATAAGTTCCATAAGTTCATTGTATCAGGAAAGAAACTAGTGTTGTAAATATGAGTTCTAGCTTGAGGTTCATTAAAGAATCTAGTATGCCTCAATCCATATGGGTTATTAGCATTATTGATAAAAGGTACAATAATATTATAAAGATAGTCAGGTGTTAAGCGGTTTATTATCTTATACATTAGAATTAATTTATGCTTATGACGTCTTAAACTTTAAGTTTCCATATTTACCTCAAGGTATAGTTTACGATGAGATGTCCCACTTCTTAACCCCGATATAATTTCCATAGCTTCAATTTGAACAGATTCGAGCATACTAGATTCTCCAATGGTACACTGGTCAAGCACAGGTCAGTGTCCTTAATGCAATTGTAATTAACACGACCACGGAATTAGATTGTTATCTAAGTCCGTGACACGACTGACGAGGACATTTGTAAAGAAAAAAAAATACAATTTCATTTAGTGTTGTAAAAATATTTAAATAAAATTCAAACATAACCGAAGTGAAAACAGATTTACGAGTTATTTCCCTTTACAGTGTTCATCTTATAAATCCCTGTTTTAAGCAAATTAGGTGGTATTCATAGTATACCCACATCATTATCAAACCACAAGGATAAAATTGATAATCATAGTGAAAGAATAAGCAAGTGGAATACACAGGGTTTAAATATAAAAAAAAAATAAAAAAAAATAAAAAATATATATAAAAAATGCACACACAAAAGCAATAGCGATCTGACTAAAAAAAAAAAGTTGCTATTACCACTCAAATGGGTGGCATTAATAACAGAGAGTATAGGGGTGATAATCATCATGCTGAATTTTTAATCAAATTGCCTGCAACAAAGTGTAACGTCTGCATTTCCAGAGAAAGTATAGGTTACGAACGATCTTCAACATATTGAACTAATATGTATACACTTTCATTATGTACCATGTGTCATGTCTCTGTGCTCTGGAAAGCAAAGCAACTGTGGCATGAAAAGTACCTATACTTAGGACAAGCTCTGGTATGGAGAATCTAAAGGGTCTACGTGAAAACATCGACATATAAACGAGTATTTTAATCTCGAATTACTTATATTCTTGACGACTTATATTCTTTAATATTTGACATAGATTCCTAATATGTAAAGAAAAAAACAGGGCTATTGACTGACTTTTTAACATTTTTTTTTTATATATAAGTTACTACGAGTTAAATATTTTTCAAGCATTTGTTGAAGTATTTTTTGTGGCAATTTCACTTCAAAATGCATATTTAAACAATACACACAACAACTGCATTATAAAAAAAACTTATTAAAATGTTATCAAAACCGCATGTCAATTTGATAAAATTTTGACAATTTAACACAGCCAAGTATATTATTCTTACTCGTTGGATATTCTTCGCACATTTATAAAAAAAAAAAGAGAGAAAGAAAAGAAAACACACACAAACTAACCATTTACAAAACAAAACAAAATGAAAATATCTCTTATTTTAATACATCGCGTGATGAGCTGCTTGTCTCCGATTTGGATAGACGGGGCTGATAAAAGCTATGCATCTGTCTTAATGCACCGTCGAGTATATGCACGCGTAATAAACAAGTGATACCTGTGAGGTCAGATAGTAAATACACTACAGTTATTCTTCATTTGCCGATAAAACTGTTTTTGCAAATTATTACTCGATTCGTTGCTGTGCACGAGGAAATAAATATAAATCGAATTCCGTGTGCACAGCAACTAATCGAGATAGGGAGAGGACTTAATAATATGAAACTCTAAGCTTGTTTTCCAATCCCTGTGTAATTATACGGTATGTAATTAACATGCTGAATGTTGAATAAATACTGTTTAAACTAGATAGGCATTTTAAGCGTGTCAAAATGCTATGTAAGTTTGTTTCTTATGCATTATACATTCTGTAGCTTATGAGGCCAGTTTTAATTCAAAACAACGAGGAAAACATGGTAATAATGTAAAAGTATCTATAATCTCTTAGTATGCATGGATGTTTTAATGTCACACTTACATTTTCTTGTACATGTTGAACCGGCTATAAAAGTCTGATAAGGGGTCTGGTAACTTTGGTGGTTTCTTTTTAACAATGTACGTACCGACTTTAGATAAAATTTACTTGACTTGATATTTAGACATTAAAAAAGCGTTTTATGAGTTTCATTCAACTTTCGGTAAAATTATCATATATCTTTATTGGGGTGGTATTTCTACCGAAAGTTTATCTAAACCCATAAAACGTGTAAAATTAATCTGAACACATTTAGTTTAGGTCCAAATAGGCTGTCACGAATTCTCATGTCCCTGTGGTATTTAGTCTTATCAGGTGGATGACTGCACAGAAAGTTAACAAATCACTTTATAATAAGTATAATTTAGAACAGTAAAATAAATGATATATTATACTTATTCCTGATATATTATTCAATCAGTTTAACCTTTCATTTTTTTTTAACGAAATGAAAATCCGGATTCGCTTTAACGTCTTTCCGTTTTCCTTGCTTAGTTTGACTATTTTGTCTCAAGAGGGCCTCAAGAGGGTGCTCGGGACCTTTCTAGACTAATGAAAATAGTCCTGCTATGCAAATTTATAAAATGTATTTGGATCTGATAATAACAATATATATAAAAGGGACAGATGTCATGTATTTTTGTATTTTAAGAATAAAATGATTTCACAAAAATTTACTACGTCACCCCTCGATGTAATTGGGTTACCCACAATGCAATAGAAAGTTTACAAGTTCTCGATTTGAGGAGAGCATAGTGAGGCTCGCAGAGTGGAGCGATGAAAACCCGGGATTTATTTGTGACAATGTAGTGTTTAAACCCAATGTCATGGTACAGATGGAGTCGAGTGACACACATAATGTAAGAAATTTGTCAAATAACCAAGTCAGTCGATTGCAATGTTTAACTGCACAAAACAGAATACATTTATCGATAGGGAAGTCGCTGTGTATTGTAATGTTCACACAACATGTTAGTGTATACAGGTAGCATTACATAGAGGCCTTTCAATGTTTATATTGAATGACGTGCTGCATCAGTATTTTGGGTCCTTACTAAACATGCATACGGTACTTTTGATAAGATGGAAAGAATGAGTGTTACGGAAACCAATCGTATGACTCGTAATTTATTTCTGTAGTATGAGGAAATGATACAACTGGGTTTTAAATGTTTTGCAGAAACCGCATACAGGAAGGTATCACTTCATGTCCTGTGGTCGCCTGTGTCACAGAAAGGATGTGAAGGGTCGTTGGGAAACACTTAATACTAAATCATGACATTGGATGGCAATATGACCACCATACGACCTTTAAGACGATCGAAGACCATAGCTGTGTCCGACTTCCAATCGGCCAGACGGTTTGAAGATCAGGAAAATAAAGAAAATATTTCATCGGACGAAATGAAAACAAGAACACCAGGATCGTCCTGTCAGGCTTTACGACATGCTGTATCGTCACTGAACAGGTTGGATGACTTTAACTTGGAGAGAATTGGATGTGGATTTTTCGCAGAAGTCTTCAAGGTATATATATATATATACTGTTTAACAGGAACACAACTGTCAATACACCTGTGATATTATCAGGTTGGGGAAAACCACCAACTTGCGTATAATAGACAAACTCGGAGTATAAATTTGTTACTAAAAATAACCAAAAACGCTTTAACAGTAACTTTTGCACGATATTATTAAAAATCGCATTAATTTACGACAAGGTAAATAATATTTTGCTAAAAGATGTTTACTGAAAGCGTTGGCTACTTAGAAACTTGATGTAACTCTATCGGAAGTATTGCATCTAGTTTTGGTATTTTCCCACATGCAAATAAAGTTTATTTTCACATTTTTATGATGTTTCATGACTAAATAAATGCGACTTGGACAAGCAATTTAAAAAAAGTTAAGCTTAAAGTGATTTTGGCTATATTTAGTAACAAATCCATACCCCAATTGGCGTATTATAGACGAGTTTGCGTATAATAGGCAAGTTGGTGGTTTTCCCCGACCTGATTATCATATTACGGGAATATGGACGGTTAAGGCTAGTACCTGTTGTATATGTTTATTATCTTGGGATTAACAAACTTCCAATGCCTTTACATGATAGTCTCTATTGGGCAACTAGCTGTTAAATGTGCCTTAAAGGGCCCTCTAAAGAACTGATTGTTTTCTTCTGTACCCTGTGTTTGTAACATATCTAATGCCCCCTTTACAACTCTATTCTTTCTTTTTCTCTTTATTAACTTTTACTTCTTTTGGTGTTCATCTCCCTAGTTAATACTGATTTGCATGTTTTCATAATCAATGTTACCCCAATGAAATGTAATACTCATGTGTCCAAGCTTAAGTGACATTTCAAAGTGTTTAGACTTTAAAGTTGCTTAGGAGTGGCCCAAACACCAGTGGACACTTAGTCTTATGAGACCTAAGCTGTTTTGTGACCTCACAGTCATCTGAAGTGGACATAATTGTGACAAGATATTAGCTGTCATGTTGCCTGCATGGTTATATCGGTAAAATTGTTGTCACAACATTAGATGTTGTGTTGCCCATCACCACTGAAAACTTTTGTGGGCTTATGTCATGATATTACCTAACCTGTTGTGTTGTCCCACTATCTGTGGACAATGTCGTCATATGACCTTACCTGTTGTGTTGCTCTGTCTGTGGACAATTTTGTCATATGACCTTACCTGTTGTGTTGTCCCACTATCTGTGGACACTGTTGTCATAAGACCTTACCTGTTGTGCTAGGTCCCACTATCTTTGGACACTGTTGTCATATGACATTACCTGTTGTGCTAGGTCCCACTCTCTATGGACACTGTTGTCATATGACATTACCTGTTGTGCTAGCTCCCACTTTCTTTGGACACTGTTGTCATATGACATTACCTGTTGTGCTAGCTCCCACTTTCTTTGGACACTGTTGTCATATGACATAACATTACCTGTTGTGCTAGGTCCCACTATCATTGGACACTGTTGTCATATGACATTACCTGTTGTGCTAGGTCCCACTCTCTATGGACACTGTTGTCATATGACATTACCTGTTGTGCTAGGTCCCACTATCTTTGGACACTGTTGTCAGATGACATTACCTGTTGTGCTAGGTCCCACTTTCTTTGGACACTGTTGTCATATGACATTTCCTGTTGTGCTAGGTCCCACTATCTTTGGACACTGTTGTCAGATGACATTACCTGTTGTGCTAGGTCCCACTTTCCTTGGACACTGTTGTCATATGACATTACCTGTTGTGCTAGGTCCCACTATCTATGGACACTGTTGTCATATGACATTACCTGTGGTGTTGCCCAACTGTGGATGCTGCTAAAGTGTTGTCATATGACTTAAGCTGCTGCATGGTCCCCATCATCTGTGGATCATAGCTGTTGTATGGCATAACTGATGAAGTATTGTCATATAATCACCTTAACTTGACTTAATCATCAGTGGACATAGGTGATGATCCCAGTGGTTATTAGTAAAAATCAGATATTACTATTGTTAGCAGGCAATTTACAAGGTATACGTAATGGCTATGCAATTTTTTCCATCATTGTGCCAGTTTTTTGAGACCATTTGCATCTTTAAAATACTGTTAGGGATGGATATGCACCAGTACATCCGTTGAATCTTTGTACATTTAAATCTTTTAAAGATTCTTTCCACATTCCTTTTCAGGGGGTAATATCTATCTTTTATACTGATCAGTAATTGTTTGATCATGAGGATGCATATTATATATGTTGATTAAATGCCATGATATACAATGTAGTATCCGTTTTGGAAACTGGAACAGTCTAGTTAATTTGTAAAAAAATAAAAAATAAATAAAGAATTAGTGATTGATTTACAATGTAACCTTTTCTCTTAGCCTCCATGCTAACTTTGAGATACATTAGTTTCCTTGTTGATTATAGTCTTCAGTGTTATTGAGAGTAAGTTTGGACAGCTCTTTTTGATGCTACAGACCCTGTGATGAGTTAGTTTGGTGTAGACCCCCAGCTTATGGCTGTGTGATGTTGTATTTGTATTAGCATGTGATGAGTTAGTTTGGTGAAGACCCCCAGTTTATGGCTTTGTGATGTTGTGTTATTGTTGTACAGGGGTACGTAGTAGCCTGGTATATTTTCTGTATACCAGAGCTCTGTACATGTGCTGCTGTAATGTACGCCCACGCAATTACCTTGATACAATGTACCTCAGTACCTGTCATCATCATCACCGTAGCCAGTGACTGCTAGTTAGGTTTTCATTATCACTGCCTTCAGCTATTACACCACTTTTATATATACAATCTGTTGCTTTGTTGGCACAGTAGTTAAGAATTATTACCAGTCAACCTAAAGGGATTGTTTTTCATCTGAAAAAACATATAGTTTCCTTGTAGAAATAAGATTTTCTTAAGAAGCAAAATACAGCAAATTGTTCTGGTCCAAAATGGTTATTGCAAGGTTTTGTTTCAAGAACTTTATGACAAATAAATAACTAGTTATCAGTGAAATACATGTCTCATAGTATGTAAATTGTAAATGGAGTATTTGTATTTCCAAAATTCTGGATACCACTAGGCATGTTTTATTGGTTAATTTTTGAAGCTGAAGGGAAGTAACGTTGATGGCTGTTTGTGTGATTATTGCCTGAAGGTAACCGAAACACAGCTACCAGACAGATGCGGTAACAGTATTTACAGGCCGGCTCATCACCAACAGATGGTGCTTCACTGCTTTCCCGATAATATAATTGTTGTTACAGCAAAATTATATCGACAGTTGTTTCTCCACTGGGTAGGGAAAGTAACGAGATTGGCTCTCCACTAGTACATTGCAGTCTTAAGGAGTCCTTGAAGTGCTGACTTCCTTCATATTTGAGTTGGTAGCACCAGACTACATAGTCAAGGAATGACTATATTTTAATGCAGCCATTTTGGTTACAGCTTGAGGATAATATTGCAAACTAAAGCTATTTTTTTTGTTTATTTTGATCTAATAATTTAGTACACTATTTTCATAGTATTGTGTGAGATTTTACTAATATACATGTCCATTATACAGACAGCACAATGACATCATGCCATGTAAGCAATACATAAAGTATAGTACCAGACATTATAAGGATTATAGAACTGATTCCTAAATGACTATATTGACGGACTCCAATTACTCGTAAGGTATAAATATCTGCTAGAGAGTAAGCATAACACAGAAATCATATTTGAAACAAGTGAAACTGTCAGTAGACAATTATTACCTATTGACAATTGTTATTGAATTGATAAACTTGCCATCATTGCATTTGGAGATGAACCATTACAATGATCTACCAATATTTCCTCGTATTCTGCTCAACGCTACCACAACCACGTTTTCCTGTATGTGAACTCGGGACACTAAATCGTTTGCTTTATAAATAATCTATACAGGGAAAATTTTGCTACAGTTATTTTTTTTGCATTTTTCACTCTCCGAGATGAGGCATAATGACTAAAATATAGTCATCAGATGTTGAAGGGTGAAATTAACACTGGCAATAGTTGATTTCATAGGCGAACAGCAAAAGTTTGAAATTTTCTGGTATCCATACATCAGTTCAGTATTAGTAATTCAGGTATTGTCAATAATACAGTACAGCATGTACCCAGATGTGTAGAGGGAGGGTGGAGAGGAGCCAGAATGTCACAATAGGTGTTATACCCTGTAACCTATACTGTCTATATAGACCATGTACCCAGATGTGTAGAGGGAGAGTGGAGAGGAGCCAGAATGTCACAATAGGTGTTACACACTGTATCTTATACTGTCTATATAGACCATGTACCCAGATGTGTAGAGGGAGGGTGGAGAGGAGCAAGAATGTCACAATAGGTGTTATACCCTGTATCTTATACTGTCTATATAGACCATGTACCCAGATGATCAGTCGACATGACCGTATGGTATTCTGTAGGAGTTCAGGAAAACATCTACAGTGAGATTGTCAGTTTCAATAGTACAATGTAACTGTAGACATACTCAGGGGTATCGGTTACCAGGGCAAGTCATACCTGTAATTATGTCCTACTACGTTCCGGTGCAAAGTTAATAGGTCATGCATAATTTTCACATTGTCATATTTTTCATTGGATATAAAGATATGTATCAAGGTCTGTTGACTGCCACATTACTATTTCAACTTTTAAGTTGTTGGGTAGTATAATTTGCATTGTCATGTTTTACCTGAAGTGTTACTGTATCAGCTATACGTGTGCATGTATACCGAAGTATGTACTCAACCTTCAGGTCATCAAATGTTTAAGTTTTTGTATATATCAGGATAGGCTGATCAGGTGACTATTTACTAGGACAGACAGGTTCAAACATTTTAGGATATATATATATGAATGAAATCTTACTAAAAGATTATGTAGTTTATGGTAGAAAAAGTATACCTTTTATAACACAGAGGTACTGCTGTACTTGTCTTTAGGCCACATTTAAAAATATCTCTGTATCCCATCTCCTGACCTGGATTTG